TGCCCGGGCCGAGGTGGGGCCGGGCGGCGGAGAGCTTGGCGGCAGCGGCAGCAGGAGGATGGGGAAGGGGCGCGGCTGCCCGGGCCAAGGTAGTGCCGGGCGGCGAAGGGCCGCAGCTGCCCGGGCCGAGGTGGGGCCGGGCGGCGGAGAGCTTATATCGGCGTATAACACGCACACATCATTTGCCCCCTATTTTCAGGGGGGAAAAGTGCGTGTTATACGCCGATAAATACGGTAACTGTGTTTTATAAATAACTAAATAAAATAAAAGTAGGAGAGGCCCACAGCTTAGTAATGCACAGAAAAAGAAACTTAGAAAGGATATGCTCCAACATATTAGGCAGTAATGGAAATGGTGGGAGACCTGTACTTTCAGATCTGCAATGAGCTGTTCATGTAGCCTTTCAATAAAGTAGAATTAGCTCATCTTGTCATGTTTCCTGTTTGGTTTACTTGTGAGGCTGAAAGATTGTAAAAGACACAATAAAGAGAATATGTATGGAGAAATCTAGTATTTGAACAGCTAAACCCAGAACTTTCTTTCAATCAAAATTATTGGAGTACATGTCAGAAAAGAGACAATGGAGAAATGGCCATTTTAAAATTAATTAATATTAATACTATAGTAACTCTACCACTATGTAAGATAAAGATCAATTTCTTTAGATTGGCAGACAAATATCTTGACTAAATAACATAGCCAAGATATTTGTCTGCCAAATCACATGGGGCAAGATGCTTGGCAGAACAGCTCTCCTACTAAACTGTTTGTCTGCCCAGCTATCAAAATCTACAAATGGTGCTTATTCCTATAAGGTATCCTTTCACTGAGAACACATCTTATCTGGACATGCAAGAGTCTCATCTTTTGGGTGTAATTGAGGTCCTTCTTCATGCTGGCACTTAAGCTGGTGCCAAGAGTGATTTCATTCAAGGTGAGGCCTGACAAGTTCTGGAGTCTTAGTTGTAGCTTGATTTTTTATAGTTTTTTTCCCTTCAGTTGTTTTTGTATCTGGATTATATCTTGTCCTAGGATTATTTGATATTGGACAGATATTTCAATAAAAGTAAAATAGTCTATTTATGATTTGGGCTAAGTGAAGCCCATTTAATGGATTAGTAGATTCCTGGTAAGATTACTCTTTCTCAAAGAAATTTTGTGTTTCCAGACATAACCACCCTCCAATGCAAATCCAAGAGTCACATCACAAATTTGCCACCACAGTAAGCCCAGCTTCCTCGTGAGTTTAGATGCTAATCTAGTAAATCAAATGATGATATGGTTGGTATCTTTCAATTCTCCCATGAATATTTATAAACCTTATAAATATGAAAATCCATTTGTTCTTCCATTTCAGAGCAACATATCTTTCTTTTTTAAAATACGAATTCGTAAAAGTTGGAAATGACTCTAAAGAGGCATGAGGGTAGATATGTGGTTTTTCTGGATCCATTAGTGAATAACTTGCATAGGCCATCATAGGTGTGATTCTCTTGCCAACTGACAAAACTCAGACTTTCTCAATACTGTATATGTCCTTGCAGGCAGATAGCAGAATTCGTTCTCATGAGAAAGAGATGCAATATCACATACAGACAGATTTCCCCCAACCTCTCCCTTTCCTGAAGATTTAAAAAAAACAGTTTTGTCTCTTTTAAAATGAGCTATAAGTTTCTGGAAAGATGCTGGAAAACAAGTGGGCTGTGCCATTTCATACATGGCTGGCATCTCCAGGAATCTATGGGTAAGTCCAGATAAATAGAAAAGCAGTGGGGGCAACTATTAAATGAATATTTTATTTCTGTAGAAATAGTTAGCACATCTAATGAGAAATTTATATTAAGTTTTTAATCTGTGTCCATTGCTTTTGTAATAAGTCTAAGATTCATTAACCCTGTCTAAAAATTATGAAAGTAAATTTTAAGATCAGCCTTAAATATTATTATAAGCATGGATTTTATTTATTTATTTATTTGCCTTTGAGTCAGTGTTGAGTCCTGGTGACTGCCTGGACAGATTCCTGGAGTTTTCTTGGCACTATTTCAGAGTACCTCTTTATTGGGACTGTGGGATGGATAAATCCTATTTGTAGCAGTTGTCTACCGACTTGTGGTCTATTCAGAGTATTACATTGCCTGTTGCACTTTCTTTTTTAATCAATGTGCTCTTCCCACATAATCTGAACAGCTGTGTAATTTGTCTTCAAAATTTAATATTTGAATTTCAAAATGTAAAAAAATACTTTTACATTTTCTTTTCCTGTTTTTTAAAAAATAACATCTGGTTTCATTTATTTCTTGTGAGATTGGTCTATCGCTTGAAAGAGATGGGCATGAAAAGAACAGTTGATTCATCTAGCTACACATCTTGTTGCTGTTTGGCTAGGAGGTGGCACATTAATTATTTTGCTTTTTGTTTTATCTCTCACTAGATGTGAAAGCCATCTTTCTCGCAAACGTTGGTGGCTAATGGAAAACAACAGTAGGATGCCTCCTGTAAGCAAGAACTACCAAAGGAGAAGACAGGATCAGAGTGTAAAGAAAAGAATACATATAAAAAATATTGAAAATGCAGCTCATGACCTTTTGGTATATCACACGTCACACAAATAATTGTTTCATTAGCAATTCATAGCTCACCTGCCTAGATTCCGCCACATTCATGGGCATGTCTGGCCACGAACAATTCCTACAAAATAAAATTAAAAAGTAAAGTAAGATTCTGGAAAACATAAATAATTCTCCAAAGACTCATATCAAAATGAGCTGTAATCGTATCTCTTGGGAGAATTCAGAACACACCAAGGAATTGGATCAACTTAAAACTGCTGCCAGCACAAAGATTAGCTCCTTTCACAATCTGTGAATTGTACTGTATGTCTTAAAAGGCCACTTAGTGTTCCTTGTTTAGTACAAGCATTTGACTTTAATAGCTGGGAGCACACCAAGAGGGACAATGTGACTTATCTCTTCCCATGTAAAGTTAATGGGATTGATTTCAAGCTCACATTTTAAAAGCAGCCACAGGTAGGTTGATTACTCCAGCATCAAGCAACTGTCTTAAATTAAGTAGGTTACCAGATGTGGACTGGGAAAACCTTTTATTTATATATAAAATATATACATTTAAATGTATAATATAAAGAGTGAAAAAAGAAAAGAAAAGTAAGGAAATCACAGAGAAAGCTAGTGGTGTGAGAAAGTGAGGAAAAGTAGAAGAAAACTAGAAAAAAAGTTACAGAAAAGAAGCTTCCAATTTTTCTTGTATAAGTATAATTAAAAATTTACCTCTTACTCTATGGTTACAATATAACTCTCATTTTTCTATAATCTTTCCCTTCTAAAACATAACTTCATTTTTTCTGACTAAAGCAAAAGTCTATAAGGAGTTTCCATTCAGCAATAAAAATAGATATGATCAAAGAAGTCAATTTAGCCATCTCTGTAACTTTTATTCCCTTCACCAACTATTCTTGTGGGTACTGCCAAATATTGTGGGTACTGCCAAATATTTCCATCTTTGTGCATATAATAATCTTGCTTAAGGTATCATGCACAAAAACAAAATTCCATAACTTTTTTCCAACTGTTTGTCTATCAGTCCCCAAACAAAAACTTCTGATTAATTGTATGTTAGTCATTTAAATCCTCTGAAGCAGTGTATGTATTTGAATCCCCAGAATTTTCTAGCATTTTTATATATCCACAAAATGTAACTCTGGTGACATATGGGTGCTCCTCAACGTATGATCATAATGGAGTCTGCTCATTATGATCATATATTGTAATGGTCATAAAACGGGTTGGCAGATGTTACGACCCTTTTTGTGGTGAGGATTAAGTGAATGTGGTGGTTGTAAAATGGCTGCAGCAGTCATTAAGTGAACACCCTAGTCCAGGGGTAGGCAACCTTGGCTCTTTTATGACTCGTGGACTTCAACTCCCAGAATTCCTGAGCCAGTTGAAGTCCACGAGTCATAAAAGAGCCAAGGTTGCCTACCCCTGCCCTACTCACTGGTGTACCATTTGTACACTATAGGCATGGTTTAGCCAAAAAATAAGAAGTGCCAATTTTTGGCAAAACAGATGTAAAACCTAGTCACATGACTGCAGGATGCTGCAAACAGCCATAAATGTGGCCATGTTGCAGAGTGTCCAAGGTTTGATCACATGATTGTGGAGGGGAGACAACCATCAATACTTTGAATCCAGGTCATAAGTACTCTTTTTGGGATCAGTCATAACTTTGAACTGTTGCTAAACAACCAATCGTACGTCAAGGATTACCTGTATACCAACAGTGCATCAGTTTATAAAAACTCTCTTTACAATTATAGCACAGTATAAATTTCAATCCTTTCAGCCACATATTTTTCCACTGTTCCATCTGTATCCTGTATTATAACCAGTGCTTTTTTTCTTAAAAAAAAAAAAAAAAAAGGTGCCGGAACTCACACACATCATACAACCCGCCTTGCCTACCCTACAAGTTCCATCCAAAAAAGGTGCCAGAACTCTGTTCTGGGCATTCTATGAGAAAAAAAGCCCTGATTATAACAAAAAAAATTAGCTCATTTTATTATACATTCTTTCACATGTTTTTCTTATATTTCAATTCTTGATAAGAATGTATACACTTTAGCAATTGCATGTTCATCATTTGTACACAATTCTATTTGAAACTCAGTCATACAATGTTCAAAACCGCACATTCTTTTGTCTATTTCATTTTTTCCTAATAATTGTAAATAGGGAACCATTGGCAACTATGTCCCTCTGCTACCAGTTCTTCTCTTAATTTTATTTTACATTCCCCTTGACAAAATATTTGTATCCTAATAAGTTGTGACAACTGTGGATAAAAAGGAATCCATTGATAAGGCTGCAAGAGAGATCAATCTAGGAGGGTGCTCTGTACAAACTAAGAATACTCTCATAGCTGGATCTATTACTTTGGGCAATTTGGTCAGTAGGTCAGTAGTAGTTACTAAAGTTTAGTAAGGTTTGTTGAGCTATTATTATCCCCAACCTATGACACAGTTGCAATTTATTGACTGCATGTTAGTCCAGGGCCTACTGAACAATCCTTTCTCTTTCCTCCTGCCTTTTTGAGAAAATCCACACACACACACACACACACACACATATGAATGGTGTAGTCTGCAGTTTCAGATACATTTCTGATTTGGTTTCATTTAAAAAATAAAATCACATGCATCAGCCACGATTGATGGTGTCCAGAAGGGATGGTGCCTATCCTCTGAAACTGCAGACCACATCATTTTTCAGTAGCATCTATGTCTCTCATAATTACAAGATATAAAAAGTAACCACAGCAAATCCTCTTAGTAGACTGCTTTGTGAAATGTGACCTTGACTTTGATCCTAGCTTTTGAATCTAATTCTCCACTAGAAAATATGACATTTGATATGGCATCTTAAGAATAGGGCACATTTAATACCAGTAACTCTCCAAATGAAACATACATCATTGCAGTGAATTTAATTTAACCATGTTCTTAATCAAATTATTTCTGCATTCACCATATATAATAAAAAGGAGCAATAGATGCAACTGTAGTAATACTATGAAATACAATTGTGCTATGTTAAATATAATTAAACTTACATTGCCAGGCTGACGTGACTGATGATCAGTTATGGTGGATGTGCTTACCCCAAGACAATCCCTTCCAACTTTATTCTGAATTAATTTTAAACAGCTCTACTGCTGGACTTACTTAATACATTTCAGTGGGTTTTGAGTGCAACTCTTATGTGCAGGCAGAATATATACTAATAATGCCCAGCGGACTACCAATTGTTCCTTAGAACAAACTACAAGTAAGGGGAAAGTCTATCAGTGCAGTTTCCCAATGTCTTCTTATGCTTCAGAAATTAAGATAAAGTGCAAAAAATAATTTGAATTAGTCTTAAAGCAGGAAGGGAGTAGTTTTCAAGCTTGGGAGTCTCCTCCCTCCAGAGCTAATAGCAACTGATTTCTACACTTAATCCGAATTGTAGAAAATGGAACAAAAACTAGATATTTGCTATACTAATCCAGCATCCCTTTCTCCTTTCATTTCATTAAAACAACATTTAACATTCCAATTGCAGAATTACTGTGTCCAAGGCAGTTTGGCTTTTAAAATGTTTTATGGGTAGGTGGAATGGCTTTTACTTTTGTTTTTTTAGGACACAGTCAATTCCAACTTATTCCAAAGGCTTCGTGTATTACCTAGGAAATAGGTTAGTCCTAGCTAGATTATTTTTGCTGCTAAAAACAATATTTGGAAGACATGTGCATTCCTGCACTGGTGGAAATATACCGTAGTTTGTGTCTACTTCATTTCTGGAAATGTGTTGTTATTATTTATTCAATTGACATCCCATCTTTCCATCAAGTGAGCACAGAAAATGACTAACAATAAAAAAAAACAATTAAAGGAATAAAATCTTATAAAAATACTTAAAATAATTATTAACAAATTCAACTGGAATGTATTGTCAAATGGGTCACATTTTCAGTAGCTAATGTCACAGTAAAAATGGGTTAGCTTCAGAAATATGAATGTTAGAAGAATACAAGATGTTCCCATATTGTGAAATGTAAGGCAACTGCCTTGATTTATGTTCATTCTCTTCCCTGTGTTGAAAGAATCACAACCCAAAAACTGGATTGACTAGAATCTTTTTTTTTAATTTAGCAATTTTTTTTCAAAATACTACCATTAAAATACTTTATGAAATCAAAATATGCTGTTTAAAACTGTGTTCATATGATTCTGCAAGTTTACACTTTCTTTCTGAGCAATCAGTATACTAGAAATTAGGAACGGAACAAGTATTTGTCTATGTTTATTAGATAATTCATATTTTATTGGATAATAAAATTAAAAATAGCCTGTGTGTTCATTACTTGTTCTTATGCCAGCTAAAAACTAGGAAAATGAGTACACCAAAACTGCATTTGATAATAAAATGCAACCGCATATAGCTTTTAGTCAACAGACAGCAAAATCCAGTTGCATTTGATTATTGGATATATATTTTAAAATGTTTATTGAAGTCTGATTATTCTTCTGCTATTTTTGGAATTGCTAAAAGGAAGATAATGACTAAAAGAATGAGGAAGACCATAGCTCAGTGTCTTATGCTTTGCATGCAAAAGGTCCCAGTTCAATCTCTGGCATTTTCCAGAATTAGAAAACACTTTTGGCTGAAAATCCGCAAAGTCGTTGACTGTTACCAGAACGTTATGTATTACATCAATACTTGGGGTAAGGCAATAATAATCTTTGGATGGTAATTTGATGCTGCAAATTATTCATGTAGTAGACAAGCAAGGACATTTCAGAAAAGCACCTCTTAGTGAAAGAGACCATGAGTGGGCTATTTTTCCTACCAATTGCCATATTGCCTCAGGGACCACAAGAGTAAAAAAATGTTCAAAATATCAATTTTCTTTGACATCCCAGCTACAAGGAAAGGATATGCAAGTCTCACCAGAGGTTTGAACTTGTATAGAAGGATGGAATTAAACTGAGGATCACATGAACTTATATGAGGATGAGGGGATAGATGGGGAACTCATCAAATTTGCAGATGACACCAAGCTGGCAGGAATAGCCAACATCCAGAAGACAGGCTTAAGATACAGAAGGATCTGGACAGACTTGAACACTGGGC